TTCTAGCAATTAAGAAATTGTTTGGTTGCATAGGTGGTTTAACATCACCAGTTATTACCTCCCATTTCTTTCAAGTTGAAGAAAGTTATATTTAACTTGTATAAACATTTTACATAAACTTTTACGGACTATAAGCAGTAGTCAGTTCTGTTTCATAGTATTTATTAGCTGTTGGGATATCTTTGTCTCATGACAAAATTCATCTGCACAACTGTGTCAGCTCTCAGGACAAGAACTAAAACCGAGTGAAACACAAATTCTGCTCCCCTCTTTACCCACACCTCCAGTTCATGCTCTACAGCGCAGATGTTGATCCAACACCATAACCAGTTGTTCAGATCGAATTGAACAGACACGCACACACAAGTTTTCCAGCACCTCACTGGTGTCCTGGAGCAGGAGCTGAGAAAAAACCCTAAAAGTTTGTGCCTCAGAGCTGCAGAAGCCTCTCAACAGACACTGCGATGCAAAGAACAAAAGCAAGGGGGCGAGGGGAATCACACCACCCAATCCCCCCCACCCCAATTTTCAATTTTACTCAAAAACACCAGGAAAAAATTACTTTTGTTGCCAGTCAAGTAAAACATAATAAAGTCTGTTTGTTTCTTTTCTGGAGTGACCATTCTGAAAACATGGGATTGTTACACAAATGTAAAGGAACTATAAAAACAGAGCAATCATATTCGTGTACATAAGATTAGCCATTAGAAGGGAATTCATTATTTTGGAAGATGTAGTTATAAATATTATACTTTTCCCTCACTCATAGCATTAACTATTAGCTATATTATCTTATTCCATAAGATCACATGGCTAAAAAGACAAAAGTGAGAAAAAAACCCCACTGTATCAGACAACTGAAAAGTAAAATTACTGAACCAGAAGTTGTTTCACTGACAAGAGAGACTGAGACTGACTAAAGTGATTAGATAATATTATTTACTGCTTTATGTGACATAATGGTGGTAATGGATGTATTAAGAGAAGATTAGAAACCATCAATGACTACTTTTCCTTATTCAGAAACTCCTAAATCTTGGTGAGAAAAGAGCAAACGTTTGAAATCTCGAAGAGGGTGACTTGGCTTTCTTAGCTTTCTCACTGAGACTAAATGATGTTTAAAAGTACAAGACAAATGCAAATAAATTTGTCATTTAAGTCTTGAAAACAAAACTATTCAGCTCTGCTTATGCCACTACCAGATTTAATAAATACACAGACTTCTATTCAGCATTTCAACATACTACTTCATGAAAGTGTCAACATTTTACATCATTTGGGAAACTGAAGCCGAAAAGCATTACCTGAAATTTCCTGTAACCTCAAGACTTCCTGAATCCTAAACACTATCCAAACTTAATAATCACAAAGGCATATTCCCCTTATTTGTTAATCTTGTAGTGATTTCGTAAGTCACATTTCAACCATTTATTTCTATTTAAATATTTCTGCTTGTCCCAGTTTTTCCCATGACACTTCAAAATTGTCTCTTGCCCGTGCCAATTATTCTCTGCTTTCTAAAATTGTGCATGACAATGACCCTCTCCTGAGAGTCTGTCAGCCAAAGCCACAGTGATCACAGAGGGGAAAGATGACTTAAAGAAATCAGAAGTAAGTGAAAGGCCATGTGTTTTTAGAAGCAAAGAACCCCAGCCTCTAGACAGCACAAAAAGGAGTGTTTTTCTTTTTCTCTTCAACCTGAGCTACATGTTTAATTCTTCCAACTATATTCCTTAACTCCTCATATCCTCCCTTTCCCATTTTTCATCCTTCCCAGCTCAGAAAGATTGCCATCTAAACTTCTGCACAGTCAAAAAGAGAAGGTTTTGGCTCCACCTTATCAGTGGATGCTCACAAAATACTGTGCTGTTTGCAGCAGCAGATACCTACTCCTCTGGAACTGCCTCATGAAAAGACAGTTGAAGTGTTGAGGAGGGAGGGAAGGAAAGGAAGGGAAGTCGCAGGCTTCCTGCTATTAAAAGCCAAATTTAAACCCTTTCTACATCAAAAGGGCCTCTGTTGTTGGCAGTAATGCAAAGAGTAGAAAATTTGGTTGATACGGTTTCTTCATTATTCTTAGAAGGCAGCTCTTCCATGTTAAAGACAGAACACTGGAAAAATACTGTGGGGAGGCCACACTCCCACTTTTCATGGAATTGCAGCAGGAAGATGTCAGATGACAGCACAGCCAACTGAAGCCATTCTGCAAGAGCTGAAAGTGGGCTAAACCCTTCCAAAAAAACTCCATGTAGAAAAGCCTGTGCTGTAGAACATGCCTTGCTTCTCCAATACTCTACTCCCCAAAGCCACAGCACTCTTACATCCTACACACCACCTTCACTACAGCAACAGGAAAAAAAATATTTCAGTCTCTAATTCATCTACAGATTATAAAAGGAACATTGAAAAAAAGTCTTTACTGTAGTTAACTTGCCTACAACTTTAACTACCATCACATTAATCTTAGCTTTAGCTATTCAGCACATTAATTACCTGGAGCACTTGATTCCATACAGTTCCTCAAATAATTAATTAGCTAAAGGGATTGAGAATTGGAGTCCCAGAGGAAATTCTAGTTTTGTAGAACTACACAGATTTCACCTTGCAAAATGCTACAATTCACCTAAAGGCACACGACAACTTCACTATTTTAGAACCCTAAAACCAAAACAAATAAAATCCCCTCACATTCACTGAAGTAGCCAGCACTTTTAGCACTGGATATCCTGTTTAGTCACCAGAAGGAAAAGTAACACTAAATAAAAACTTTTGGTCCCCTCATTCACAGCATTAGACATTTATCCTAACAGGTAACCTCTCTCTGCTTCAAATATCCATTGCCAAAGCGCAACCAAATGAAGGCAAACAATTGACAGGACTTAAAACTGGATTTCTTTCAAAGCACAAGAATAAACTGCACTAACAGAAGTAATTAAAATCTAGTTATGTACAAGTACAGAAAAAAAAATTATCATCTCAGCATATTACTATTTTCACTATTATCATCTGCAGCATATTACTATTTTCACCACCTCTCTCCTGCTATTCATCACATCAGCTGTGGTGTTTTATGCCAACATGTTAATGTTCCAGAGAACTGATCAAGACATGAAGAGAAGTAATGCTTTGCTCTTCCTGCCCTTCCAAAAAAACCCTCCATGCTATTTCTCTCATTAGCTGAATCCCACATCATTCTTCCACAAGGTAAGCAGGGCAGAAGGGGAACTAATCAGGCAAAAAGGGTACTGGAAAGCAAGACAACTGCTCTCTAGCAGTTATGCCTTGGGTGGACAATCCCCAGCTCCTGAGCCCCTCGTGGCAGGGACATGCCCTGTGATTGGCAGCAGGGCTGTGCTGGCACAGGGCTGCCCCGTAATTCAAATCCCCTGCTATCAGAAGGCAGAAGCCAGCAGAGCCTCCTGAGGCCAAATTTGCCATGCTGCCCCGTTCCAGCTGCAGGCTCAGCGCTGCCCACACCTACAATGCAAAGTGAGACACTCGAGGAAGCCCCTGCTGCTGCAAATCCCAGTGTGTCCCAGTCCCTCACCAGTTCTGCACAGGGCTCCCAGCTCCACACAGATTTGGGTATGCAGCTTGCAGCTTTGAGGTTACCTACCCACATCACAGACCATCCATCACAAAGCACTGTTACCATTTTAGAGCATCCACATGCTCAAAATCTTAGAAAAAACATGTTGCTTAAACGAATTGACACCTTCAAAGGTACCAGGGATCCACTTCCACTTTCATTTATGAACTTTTTACTCAGCACCCAATATTGAGACCTACTCAACCAAGTCAATTCATTCAAGTCTTTTAAGTCACACAAGACTTTTAAGAGGTCTCTGCAGCAGTCCAAATGACAGAGACAGCTCAGCAGTAACAGGATGCAGCACTAGGCACTTATGAAAAAGTTATTTTGGAAATAGAAAATATTCCTTATAAAGAGGAGCTAAAAACATGTAGCACATAGCGTATTTATTATGAATCAGTCTGAACTTTCATCCAAAAGACTGTGTACCTTATCCTGAACTATCATTTGCTGATTAGGAAGAAGTACTGTCCAGACTCCTTGGCTAAACTTTTAGCTCAGATATTCTTATTAAAGAATTAACTACTGGAAGAGTAATGAAAGCTTAACCTTCCCAAAAAGGCAGTATTCACAAAATAGATGATACCATTAAAAGCTGAAGGATAGCAGCACAAAACTGTTATGTTTGAAAACAAGCAAGATAAAACCAATACTACAATCTAAAAAACAATAAGCACAGAAAATAAACTTTGAAGTTTCAACACTTTGATTCAATTAGTATTAATTTAGCAGCTTTTGGTACACACACACACACAACTGCAAGCATAAATTAACATGTAGAAGAATCTCTTCCTACTCTATAGCGAAGTTAGTCAAAAAGTTAGCAAACAAAAATCTTTCTCAAACAAGACATCCATTTTCCCTATCTTCACGCCATTCCCCTCTTCACAACTGCCAAATAACAGCCATTAGATGCAAAAATTAAAAGCTTTTAGAAAGACAATTTAACACAAACTTCTGGACAAGCAAGCACAATAAAATCCCCAAAATTCAGAGTACGATTTCATTCTGTGAGGACACAGAAAATAAAGCCTTACTTGCTCCAAATAAAGAAAATTGTGCTCATTTTGTACACTGACACAAGGCATGTTTACAGCAGTATGAATCAATGTGCTATAGCTGAAGTAAATCAGTGTCAGCCATGTTGTGAAAGAAACTGCAATTAACAAACCCACAAAACTCAAAAGTTAATCAAATTAGCTCTGCCTTGATATAAATAAATTTATACTGCTAGATCTTATTTACGATCAGTGTCTGACTTCTTCAGGTTAATCTAAAAATACACATCCAAATTATTGAGACAGTGAAACAGCAGCAAGAGGAAAATACACAAGATATAAACCAGGAACACTGACTGCAGCACAAAGGAGGAAGGTACAATGTAAAGTGAAAAAGCAAATGCACTTACTCAGCATTAAATCCATTCACGTGTAGGATCCTCATCTGCTTGACTATTGTGCTTTTACCGGATTCACCAGCACCTAGAAAATGAAAGTAAATCAATTTCAGAAGGAAGCATAAGTGATTAAGGCACACACTAGAATTTTTTTCTTCGGGGTAAAATCGAGAAAGTTGGGTTTCTCAGTGCAAGAGTGAAAAGTGAAAGAAATAATTGCCACTGGAAACTTCAGTTGTAGCTAAAAATAAATGCCCAGCTCAAGTCATGTGTCAGATCTGAATCTTGGATCATTTCACTGTCCATTTTTCCAGTGTCAATGTTAAAAGCAGACTGCAGTATTTGGAAAGAAAATGGACAACTTCAACATTTTACAGAGAACGCAACACAGGGAACATCACAACCTGGTTGCTTTGTCACCACTATCTGACAGAGGGAAAGACTGACTGAAGTTCCTATTAAACCAAAGAAATTGTGTTATATCCTTAAAGTATTCTAAGTTTGGCTGCAGTTCATCATCACCCAGTCAAACTCCGTAACTTAAATCGCAAGGAATAAAATATGTAGATACTCACATTTGAAAAAGGAAGGCATCCCTTTAAGCCTCCACCCACAAAGCTACAAAAAACCTCCTCTTATTTGTGTCTTGTAAGCAGCCTCCCACCCTCCCTACATGTTCCAAAATCAACCCTACGCACGAGGAGAGGCAGAGACCACCTTTTGTGGCTGCCTGCTCCAGAGAGCTCCCCCACAGCTCTCCCCTGCTCCCCTCCCGTACCTGCAGCGCAAAAACCCTGCTCCACTTTACTCCAGTTTCCATAAGTAGATGGATGCTATTTCTGCTGTGCTGCTCGGATGCCAGTGCACAGGGCAGCCCATCTGCCTCTAGTACCCGTTTCTCCATGCACGCTGAACAACTCCAACAGCAGCATTTAATTGAGCTGCTCCACGCTGCCAGATCGGCAGCTTTCTATATAAAGCAAACATATTTTTGCAGGAGTAGCATTGTAACGTGGCAAAATTTAGAAAGATTCCCCTTAGCATCTCCTAGCTACTGGTTAATTCCCCTCCCCAGGCTGTGTCTCACCCACAAGAACCGTACGTCTGTGGCAGAACGGGCAGGGAGGTACAGTTTGTATTTATAGGATGTCAGGCCTCTGCTAGCACACACTGACAGCACAAGCCTCCATTTTGAGCCTCATGTTCAAAACTGTATTTTAGCAGCTACATTTCAAGGTTCATTTTCTCACAAACGCTTTCCGCCCTCTGCTTTCTCCCTTCCTTTCCTTCTCCCTCATGAATTCCCAAAAGTCCTGCTCTGCTTTCCATAAAACCTGGTTGCACGTATAGCCACTTTAATCCCAGTGCCTTACTCCTTTTCCCTCGCCTTGCTCACTGCTGTTCTGTAAGGATTTAGAGAGCAGTTTTTATCTACAACTCTTTATGCACACGCCACTTCTCCACTAAGCTGCTATTTTATACCACACACCCTCTGTCTGATCAGGCAGACTGCACCATGCAATAAACTCAGGTGGCTAAACCAATCAAGAATTAGTATCTTGGGATAAAATAGACTGGATCATCTTGACAACTAAGAATTATTCACGACGGCATTATCTGCTATAGTCATATGTCTGCTTAAAAACTAATAACAACTAAATTTCAGCCGTAACACTAAATCACATTTTATATTTATAAGCATTGGGAGCCAAAGTCTTTACTTCACTTGGTCCAAGAAGGAGGCTGGACAGTTGTTGCATTTGCTATAAACACATTTGGTTTGGTATTGACACACCTGGGTTCTCTGGATCAGATACAACACCAGTGAACCAAAATGATGTATTACATCTATGTTTCTCCATAAGTCTAGCTCTATATTTGGCTGCTTGTTAAGGCCATATTCTCAACAACAATTACACACACACATTTAACTTCACCACCAAGGAGAGTTCCATTAATTTCAGCAAGACTGCTCGTGGCAGCGGGGCAAGCACGTGTACAGCGATGGGGCCTACGAGCAGCAGCATAAACCCACTAGAATATTCAGCAGCTCTTCTTTGTTGTTATTTGAATATGATTTGAAAACATTAAGAACACTTTCCAAGTGCCTGGCTTCTTATTTCATGTGTCTTATACAGGAAACATAACATAGTAATAAGGAGGTGAGCTTTTAGATTTTTTTACCAGTGAGTCTGAGTTACAGACTATACACAATTCATGGCAGAAACTGTAACAGCTGAACTATCACTTTAAAACACTCACAGATGACTTTACTGCCATCAGTAAAAACACGCAAATTTTTATTTGCAAGTATCTAAACTATTTTTCAGCCACCAAAACTAAAGAAAACAGAAAGAAAACCCAGGCAAGCCCATTATGTTTCTGTTTGCTGAAATTTTGCCTCTTACGAAAGCAACTCGCCTGATGACAAATAGTTTCTATGTATCTACGTAATGTTCAGCCTGAAATCTGGAAGTCCAAGACATTTCCCAAGAGCTGAAGTCCAAATTATCCTGTTAAAAGATTTCTGCTGAAGCCCTGGCAGGCTCCTCATTGCTGCAGGTGCTGCTGTAGTTCCAGTCACTCTCTATTTATATGAAGTCTCTTTCTTCAAATTAGTATTTGAAAGATTTTACTGGTGATAGTACGCTTCCAAATTCACTGCCTTCAAAAATCCTTTTTTTTCTTTTTTTCCCCTTCTTCCATTGGGGTTTTTCCCCCCAAAACTGTGTCAGCTCGGCGAGGCCTAGCCTGTGCTCCACGCTACAGCCCTGCAGAACGTGCACAGGCAGTCCCTCGGCGTGACCAAAACAACCCACGGCTCCTAACTGCATCTGATCCTGAAACACCACTTCAAAATACTCTGAAATAACGAGCCTGACAAACATTTGCTTGTCCTCTCCTATATTGATATTTGGACCCTTCCGTTCCCTGAAAGCCACAACCCACGTTTGTAAACGTCTTTTCCTGAAAAACACGAGCAGGTAACCCAAAGGAGCCGCTGGAGCAGCACCCAGGGACGGCTCTGCCAGCGCTCCAACGCGCGGTACCTCAATTCCTGGTGCGACAGCGGAGGGTGCCGAGCCCGCCGGGGCCGGGGCCGTGCCCGCCGGCCCTGCGCTGCTCCGCGGCCCCAGCGCGGCCGCGCTTCCCTCCGGGACCAACATCCTCCCTCCGTTTCCCCCAAACCATTCCCCGACTTCCTCCCTTCCTCTTCCTCCTCTCCCCGGCCTGGCCGCACGTCCCTCGGCACCCCGGCCCCGGCGCGGGGAGCGGTGTCCGGCCCTCCCGCGCTCGCCCGCGGCCGCTGTCACTGCCCTGCCCTGTTTATCTGCCCGGCTCCCCGCGGGCCCCTCGCCGCGGCATCCCCGGCCCCCTCCCCACGCCCGCCCGAGGCCCCGCTGCCGCCCCGGCTGCCCCGCGGGCGGAGAGCGGCCCCGCGCCGCCGCTCCGTACCTGCCCCGGCCCCTCCCGCGGCGCCCCGGGCGCTGCCCGAGCCCTCCCCGCCGCTCCCCCGCACCGCGCCGGTCCCCGCGGCGGCCCCGGCCCCGCCGCCCCGGGCGCTGCTATAGCGGATCCCCGCGGCCCCGGGTGGGCCCTGCGGCTCCGCTCCCCCACCCCGGCCCCACCTCTCTCCCCCGGCCTCGCCATGCCCGGGCTGGGGCCGCTGCCCCGGCGGGGAGGGGACGGCCCGCGACCCCTTACCCAGCAGGAGGAGCCGGTGCGTGGCCCTATAGACCTGCTTGTCCTTCTGCAGCTGCTTCTCGATCTTCTTGTTGGCCTCCCGCTGCGCCTTCTCCTCGTTGCGCTGATCCTCCGTCTTGCTGTTCCCTAAACAGCCCATCTTGGGGAGGGGAAGGCAGGGACGCGGGGCGAGGGGACGGGAGGCGGCCGGGGCTGCCGGGGGGAGGGAGGGACGGAGGGAGGGAGGCACTCCCGGGCTCCCTTCTTCTTCCTCCTCCTCCTCCTCCTCCTCCTCCCCCCCTACTCGCTGCTGTGGCGGCCGCTGCCCAGAGCCAGAGACATGGAGAGCGCCGAGCCCGAAGCCAGCCGAGGGGGGGCCGATAGCGATGACTTTGCTGCCGCTCCGCCGGGCCTCCTCCCCGGCAGCTGCAGCTGCCTCTCCTCCCCCGCCCCCCGCCGATCCCCTCGGCGCACCTTTCCCGGGGGGTGCGGAGCGATCCGCGGGGATCTCCGCGCCCCGGCCGGGCCGCCGGCTCCTCTAGAGGCAGCAGAAATGCCCCCCCCCGCGCCGCACGCACAGGAACAAATCCAGCTTCAGTGCCACCCCCCAAAAAATAATAATCCTCTTTAGATCCAAAGGCACGGGCTCCAGGCGCGGAAACCTCCCCAAATCCTCGGCGGGGAGGATCGGGAAACGTCTCTTCCTCGCCTCTCCCCCCGCGCCGCGGGGGTCACGCAGCCCCGGTCCCTTCCCTCGCCGGCCGCCGCAGCTCCTCGCCCTCCGGCCGCCGCGGGTCCTTCCTCCCGCACTGGGGCGGGGGGGTCCAAGCCAAACCACCCCTTTTTTTTTTTTCCTTTTTTTTTTTTTTTTTCCTCCCCTCTCCTTGCTGCTGCTCTTTTCACATGCGCTTTCCAGGCGGCTGAATCCTCTCGGCGAGAAGAAAATACAAAATAAAATTAAAAAAAAAAAAAAAATAGGCAAGCCCGTTTGCTCTGTGCCACGAGCAGAACCTGTCCTCTCACGGGCGGATTTTTTCCCGTCTTATTTTTCCTGCTCTCTCCCGCATTTTTTTTTTTCCTCCCCCTTTTTTTTTTTTTTTTTTTTCCCTTTTTTTTTTTTTTTTTTTTTTTCCCTTCCCCTATTGAGCGGCTCCGCGGCGGCGGAGCGCGGGGTGGGGCGAGCGGGCCCACACTGCACGCTGGGAGCGAGCGGGGCCGCTCACATGATGCCCGCGTCACCCCGCGCCGCCGCCGGCGGCCTCTTCGAACCGGCCCCGCCGCCGCTCGGGGGCCCCGGAGCCTCCCCGGTACCTCCATCCCACCGCACCGCCCGCCCCCCGCCCCGCGGGATGGAGGCGCCCGGAGCTGGGCTTGCTGTTAATAGCATTCGGAATAAATTCTAAGGGAGTCGTGCCCCGCGACTCCTTGTGTTACACTTGGAAATAATTAGTGTAGGAGTTGTGGTGCTGAATGGTTTGTGTCTGTTTTTTGGGGTTTTTTTTTGGGTGGATGATCGCCCGCACCCCGCGATTCCCTTGCCTGTCTCTGTCCATCCCTGCCCATCTCGGCCAGGACTGCGGGCTCAAGGTACCAGGGGATGGATGCTCTCTGCACCGCTGGATGCATACACTGGCTTCTATATGCATGGTTTTACCCCCTCTCTAACTACATTTTCTAAAATATGTTTTGAAAACCTCTTTGCAAAAATTACACAACTTATCAGTTACACCTGGAAAAGAAAGGTTGGCGCTTTGCTCTTTGTATAACCCAGATCCCTAAAATACACAGGTAGTTTTTCTCTATGCACACACCCCCACATGAGTTAGTGAAATGTCCTTTACTATACAAATATTACTTACCCTAATTTGCAAAATTCAATTATCTACCACACTGTTCCCACGAACACGCCTTCTTACATCATGCAGTTACTATATTTAGAAACACCCACAGTAAAATAATTATGTGAATAGAGCAAACAACTAGTAGGTCACAGCTAATGTCATCAAATACATCTGTTGAGCTGCCCTTGCTGAAAGAGGGGGGGACTTCAGGAGAAACAGGGAACATCACAATCACTATTTTAAATGCATGAGAGAGACTCTTACTAGGGTCTCTAGGTGCTCTTTTAGGCTAAGAGCAGTTTTAAAAGGTCTTAGAGAAACTTGGCTCAGCAATGCCCAGATTCATCTGAAGCAAATATGGTAGTAATTCATTATATCTTTTATAGGTTATTTATTTGTACAGTTTTCATTTAATACACAATATTAAAATATAATTTAACTGTTGAGTTTACGAGGCATAAAGGACTCAGAAAAGCAGAATTTGGACTGAAAATTAGAGACCCTCATACTTTTTTTTTATGGTTTCAGATATTAATAGACTGTAGAAGTGCCAGTACCTGCCACCTCACATGGGGGAAATCTGCCCCAGCCTCCAGGCTTTGCTTCCCTCCGGGTCCCAGATGAGGGGAAGGGAGCCCATCTCAAGCTCCAAACACAAAGGAATACACAAACAAGATAGAAGGTATTGCTGGAGATATACAAAAGGCTCGGTGAACAGTGTCTGTACAGGGAAATGGGATGGGTAAATATGCCAAAGCATCCATGGACAAGGAGTCATGGCTGTGTAAATGCTGTTGTCCAGCAGTGCACACCCATCCCTTCCCAAACAGAAAGCAGGACAGGCTCTGCGAGGTTGAACTCCCACAGGAATCACTGCCCTCCTGCTGTAGATACCTGGTGCCTCTGTCTTTAGGCTGAGCAGAGCCTGAGGTAGCTAAAAAAGAAAAACACACTCAGCTAATTCACAAAGCTCCCAGTTACTTACAACAGAATTAAGAATTAGCTCCTTGTATTACAAGTGCTACTAAAGTGTGAAAGTGTCAAAAGCTACATGAAACAAAAAGAAAACTCCCACATTGTGCAACCTATCAGCAATTACAGATTGTTTTTGTTTTCCTGAAATATGACAGGACTCAGGGCATCAGGCACCACCCGCACTTCACAAACCCACTGAACTGCCAGGAGTCTTTTCAGTGCTCCCCTGATTAGGAGCCCATCGTTTGAAGAGTGAGCATACCAACACATTAGCTGTTCTCACTCTTTTTTATTTATTTAAATAACATAAGGCTGCTAATGTGTCTTTAGAATAAACTGTGTTTTTTGTTGGAACTAGTTCCATTAGCTTCCATCTTGTAAAAATCCATTAACTTGAGTTTCACGAGACTCCTGCCATCAGAAGGGTAAGTGCAGGCACAGTCTGACCCCTGACTCACCATAAAATTAAATCTCACTTCTGAAGAACCTGCAGCCTCAGGAACAAATAATGCAAAGATAAAATAACTATATGTATGGGCATAGTGCCTCTGTGACAAAAGTCTATTTGAAGCTTGAAAAGAGGGTGTTAAAGGACACTACTACATGTTAAATGAAAATGTTTTCCAAAAAGGTATAGTAACAAGAATGTGGAAAAGGCTCTAAAAGAGCATCAGAAGACTTATGGCCATTGACTCAATCCTGCATTATTTAAATTAATGGGAAATACAAGGTTAAACACAGAAGATTGAGAGCATTGCACACTTACGGATTAAATTCAGATTCACTGATATTCCTTCTGTGCTTGAATATGACACTTTGAGTAGAATAGAGGCTGTTGTTTTTTATTTTTCAGGTTTAAGTAAATGCAAAGATTCTGATGCACCAGCACACATCTGAGGGCAAGGATTTAACATTGTGAAACAATATTCTGCTGTTTTCACTTCTCAAAACAGAAAAGATCTCACAGAGAGGTAGCAGAATAAATAAAAGCAATCATATTTCAGTGGAATATCTGGGAGAAAAGGAGGATATATAAAAGTTCCCTGTATCTATAATCCATTTCAGTCCACTTGATCGCTTTAGTTAACAGATTTTTAGTCCTATTGACCTAATTTCTATTACATCCTAATGAAAATTATCAGGTCTCTTAATTTTGTTAATTTCTTTTTTGAAAGAGGAATTTTATTGCCATTATTTTCTTCACTTTCTCTCCACAGTTTTTGCCCCAAAATCTGCTCTCTGGTGCCTAAAACTAAAGAAGGATTTGTAACAATATCCTAATCCTGTAAATAAACCTGAACTTTACTCAGTTGAGCAGTCCTTTTGAAGTACATAACTTATGCGTACTTTACTCTTCCCAGCTAGCACAACTATATTAGCTTGATTTTTAAATGGAATAGAAGATTTAGATATAAAGTAGAAGCAGACTAGCAGTAGCAGTAGGGGAGAGAACTTGTTGGAAGGTTCACATCTTTTATCCTTCCCCCACCCTATACACATGAACTTCTATCCTTTTAAGATTTACATGTAATACCTACTGATATAATCACTCAAGAGGACTTCAAGAAAAATACTATCTTTTTCCTATTTTAATATTTATTTCATATCTGACAGACTGTTACATGTACTTCAATGCATTTTCCTTGTGGTAGTCTCCCTTCTTGTGCATGAGGATATTCACAACTGTACAAGTTATAGACAAATAAATACTGCTGTAAAATTCACAAACATTGGCTGGAAATGTAGATGCAAGACTTGGTTTTGGAGAAACTATTGCCTTAACAGAGTAGATTCTGAGCCTGTTGGAAAAAGACTTTTAAGACACATATTTCATGATGTTCTGTTCTTTTATCTTTTTAACTAAATAGATAAAACTTTCTGCTTGCAGTTCTGCTGTTGCATCAGTTTTATTCTAAATTGACCAGAGTCAGGTTCTGAATTCATTCAAGTTACTCTTTGTATTTAGAGCTGATTATGAGACCCAGATCAGATTCCCTCTTACCCACAGCTTCCTCCCAAACCCTCCAGGTGACAAACACCCTTATTTCCTATTGCAAATAATTTACATTTGTTAGTGAGTTGAAGGCACTGAGCACTTGGGTGCCTCCAGTAAAGAAGAAATGGTTAACTCATTTTCAGATGGGACAATTGTGCAGTTCCTTATGGGCTCTCACTGGCCAGTGAATGTGACCTCGCAAACTTTTGGCTGTGAACTGTGGGGGTGGAGCTGTGACCAAGCCATTGTGCTCATTTGGAAGAGAAGACACAGATGACATCTCGCTCCAGCATCCCTTAGCAACTGGACTGAAATTGCACTGCAGCCTCTGAGAAGGCTGTCAGCCTTCCTGGCCTCTGGAATAGCCTGTACCAGTTCTAGCACGGCTCAGGAGACACAGCACAGAGGACAACGTTTGTAGCTCAAAAAGTAAAAGTGACAGGACTGATCTAATTGTACAATTTCCTTTGTTTCTGTTTGTAGGAAACAGCATATTTTCAGCAAGTCTTTTCCATGGAAGGACACAGAGCTCAATTAACCTGGGGGACACAAGAAACAAATAGTTCTTATAGCAACACCTGGAATTTTGTTAAGGAGCCCACATTACCCCATGCTTCATTTTGCTGTCCTACAAATCCACAATGCCATAGCTGAGCTGTTGGAACTGACCTTCCTCTTTTAAAAGCAGGGGGATTAACTCAGGAACAGATTGACTCTTTCAGTTAAAGGACATTTTTAATAGCACACACTGTATATTTTTGTGTATGGGTACCTCTCTGACTTGAAGTTAGTTAAATTTAGCGTCTCCATCCCGGGCTGGTAGTTGAGTGTCAAACCTATCAACCTCAATGTATTTAATCCCCAATAAACTTAATCTTTTAGTTACAGATAAGGATTAATTAAGGTTCTGATTTAGACTTAGATCAGTGGGGTTTTTTTCATCTAAGAAAAACTGCTCTGGCTACTTGCAGTGACTCAGGTCTGCTCTCATGTTTTCCTTAGAAGGAGCCATCCTCCACGAGCTATGGAGCTATCGTCCTGAAAATCCTTTGGACTCTGCGAAGAAAACGTGGTGATAAAAAGGGAGACGGTTTCAAAGTCTCCAAATTACCCTTTGACCTGCTGAACAAGGAACCCTTGAGTAATCTCAAACCCGTTTAAAGGAGAAACAAACAAATTAAAGCCAAACAATAATCTAAAAAGGAAAACCAAAGCAAACAGATTGGAATTGGAGCGAGAATTCAATGTGGGGTTTTTTTTTTTTTTTTTATCTGTTTCCCTTGTGGGGGCCAGAACAAAAAAC